GAGGAGAGACCCATCGTTGCATCTAGATGGCAGCTTGCTAGCTTTTAAGATCCCAGTCGCTACTCACCAAAGTAGGGGGTGGAACAATGTTTTGTACGGTATGTTATGCCAATTGAGCTTGATGTCCCCTGTGACTATGGTCCCAAGGCCACAGGTTTAACTACTCGGTCCCTCTGGGTAGCTGGTAAATTAAAGATCTTGAGATAAGCAGATTAACCAGGATTATCTGATTAGGCTCTAAATGCCATCAAAAGTGTCCTTATGAAAGAGAGAGATAGAAGAGGAGACACAGTCACACATGTGAAGATGGAGGCAGAGACTGGAATGATACAGCAACTAGCCAAGGAATGCCAAGGATTGCCAACAACTAGCAGAAATTAGGAGTGAGGCATGGAACAGATTCTCCCTCACAGCCCCTAGAAGGAGCAAATACATTTTTGCTGCTATCAGGTTTGTGCTAATTTGTTACAGCAGCCTCAGGACACTGATACACCAAGACATGTAAAGCTAGATCAAAAGAGAACTGTTCGTGCTTTCTTGTATGTTGCTGTTCGTTGTTGTTGTTACGTGCCATGGAGTCAGACCCGACTCACAGTGACCCCTCCTTGGGTTTCTGAGGCAGTATCACTACGGAAGTAGATTGCCCCATCTTACTTCCGAGGAGTGGCTGGTGGGTTTGAACCATTAGCCTTCTGGTTAGCAGTCAAATGCCTTAGGCACTATGTTACCAGAGCTCCTATGTTGCTGTTCAGCACTCGGTAATTCTAAGCAGCAAGTATGATCTGGCTTAGCTACCTCACCACTTGCCATGACAGTCCAGGAATATCTTGACAGAGCAGTCCCACATCAGCTTAGTATCTATCAAGGCTCCTCCTCTGCTGCTGTAGCCTGTGGCAATGTTGCAATGCTCAAGGACTCTCTCTACTGTCTGTCTCCTTCCTGCCTTCTATTTCATGCCTGCACTGGTCTGGCACCCCAAGTTCCTGCCCTGTCTTTTTTCCTGACCCCTTTAGATACATGCTTGGTCTATCTGAAGGCTGTTGGTCTTGTTACCTGTGGCTCTCTCCCTTGTAGCTCTTGGGTTAGGACCCCCTTTCCTCTGTAACCCACCTGGGTTCAGTGCCCTGGGCTCCAGCAGGTCCAGGATGATATTTTATATGGTGACACTGATCAATGACAGTAACAAACAAAAGAGCAGAAGCTAGCTGGAAGGGCATAGAGGGAAATCACTGCTGTTACTGTTTGTCTACTTGGATGAGTGTCTAGAGACCAGCTTTTGGTACCAACAACACTATGGATTCAGATAGAGCCAGAACAAAAGAGCAAAGTCTCTCATGCTTATGTTTCCTCCAAGAATTTCATACCTCATGGTAGATTTAAAAATTTCCTCCTACTCAAAGCCTCAATACGTTTATAAGGAGTCACTTATACAAGTCAAAGTTTGAAGATAAAGAACCATTCTGATCTTCCTAGAATTCATCACCTATTCATCTTTCTCCTCCCCCTCTTCTTGACCTCTGAAGACATTGATTATAACTTGTAAGAAATCTTCCGTTGCTACTGTCATTTGGGCTGGGTTCACAACTGCATGATGAAGAAATGTTTTTCCTAAAAGGAACTAATTAGTTCATCAGAATGGAGGGATGAAAGAGAGAGATGTAAAATAGGTGCCTGTTTATCATTTACTCTTACCTCATCTGATCCTGGCAGAAACACATCAACCATTGTGGCTTTTGGTTCTGTGACTGGATGAACCAATAAAGCACTTCCTAAAAAATGGAGAAGAAGGAGATTGAATACCTTGATAAGAGGCCTGAAGACATCATTACTCTTAAATTGACAGCTCTTATAGTTTTTAAGATTACTTGATCATACACTTCTTGTAGGTTGAGACTGCGGTGAGCTGAGCCAATGATTTATCAGAGAGATACATTGTTAGAAAGAGAATAGGTGTATTATTATTACTTAGCATTAACCTGGGAGCTCTCCTGGCACAGTGCCTATGGCATTTTACTGCTAACCTAAAGGCTGGGGGTTCAACCCATCAGCCACTCCTCTGAAGGAAGGTTGGGCAATCTACTCCTGTAGTGGTACCTCCTCGGAAACCCAAGGAGGGGTTGCTATGAGTTGGATACAACTCAACAGCAGTGAGTTTTTTTTAGAGCATTAACCTTCTTAGGTATATCAGGATTATAGGGAGGAACCCCGACAAGTCTACCACAGTCCATTTTGTGTATAACTGCTAGTATTTATGCCCAGTAGATGGGAAGTGCTTGTGTACAGAAAAGAAATGGTCAATGTTCAACCATTTCAGGAGGTAGAATGTGACTAAGAACCTATGGTATTGAAAGAAGTCCAAGCTGTACTGAAGGAATTGGCAAAACAAAACAAAACAAAACAACTCGCTGCCATTGAGTTGATCCCGACTCATAGAGACCCCTCCTTGGGCTTCTGAGGCAGTATACCTCTATGGAAGTAGATTGTCCAATCTTCCTTCCAAAGAGTGGCCAGTGGGTTTGAACCACCAGCCTTCTGGTTAGTAGTCAAATGCCTTAGGCACTACTCTATCTGAGCTCCCTCGGCAAAAAATGAGGCTCCAGGAATTGGTGGAATACTTACTGCGATGTTCAACAAATGGAGGCGCTTACTCATTTATTCCAAGAAATGTGGAAGACAGCTACCTGGCCAATCAACTGGAAGAGATCCATATTTATACCCATTTCAAAGAAAGGTGATACCACAGAGTGTGGAAATTACCAAATAATATCATTAATATCACACACAAGTAAAATCTGGCTGAAGATAATCCAAAAATAGTTGTAGCAGTATACTAACAAGTGACTTCCAGAAATTCAAGCTGAATTCAGAAGAGGACATGGAATGAGGGATATCATTGCTGATGTCAGATGGATCTTGGCTGAGAGCAAATATCAGAAAGATGTTTACCTGTATTTTATTGACTATGCAAAGGCATTTGACTATGCAAATCACAACAAATTATGGATAACATTGTGAAGAATGGGAATTCCAGAACACTTAATTGTGCTCATGAGAAACCTGTACACAGACCAATAGAACAAACAGAACAAAGGGATACTGCATGTTTTAAAATCAGGAAAGGTGTGTGCCAGGATTTTATCCTTTCACCATACTTATTCAGTTTTTATGCTGAGCAAATAATCTGAGAAGCTGGACTTTATGAAGAAGAACGCAGCATCAGGACTGGAGGAAGACTCATTCATTAACCACCCACAATACGCAGATGATACAACCTTACTTACTGAAACTAAAGACTTGAAACACTAGTAATGATCAAAAGACAACAGTCTTCAGTATGGATTACACCTCAACATAAAGAAAACAAAAACCCTCACAACTTGTCCAATAAGAAACATCGTGATAAATGGAGAAAAGATTGAAGTTGTCAGGGATTTAATTTTACTTGGATTCAAAACCAACACCCATGGAAGCAGCAGTAAAAAAATTAGATGTTGTATTGCACTGGGCAAATCTGCCGCAAAAGACTTCTTCAAAGTGTGAAGGAGTAAAGATGTCACTTTGAAGACTAAGGTATGCATATACCAAGTTGTGGTATTTTCAATCACTTCCTATGCATGTGAAACCTGGACAATGAATTAGGAAGACCAAAGAAGAGTTGATGCCTTTGAATTGTGGTGCTGGCAAAGAATACTGAAAATACCATGGGCTGCCAGAAGAACAAACAAATCCGTCCCAGCGAAGCACAGCCAGAATGCTCCTTAGAAGCGAGAATGGCCAAACTTCGTCTTACCTACTCCGGTCATGCTGTCAGACGGTACCAGTCCCTGGAGAAGGATATCATGCTTGGTAAAGTAAAGGTCAGTGAAAAAGAGGAAAACCCTTAATGAGATGGATTACACAGTGGCTGCAACAATGAGCTCAAGCATAGCAGGGATTGTGAGGAGGTGCTGGACTGGGGAGTTACATCCTGTTGTACTTGGGTCGCTAGGCGTCAGAGCTGACTTGATGGCATCTAACAACAACAACAACAACACTGCACCGCTTCAAGTTCTTCATTGTTTGCTGTGAGTAACTTTGTTGATGGTGAGCCCACAGCTGTTATTGGGAAGCGGTTACTGTGAATGCTCAGATCCTCTTGCTTGGCAGTTTTCCTTGGAAAGGCTGTATGTCTCTCAAAGGCAATTTGGATTATTATTTTGTTTTGACCTTGACACCATATGTACAAAATATGTACAAAATTCATTCACTTACATATTCACTCTTATTCAACAAATATTTACTGAGTGCCTATAGGCACTGTGCTAGAGTCTGGTGATAAAGCAGCAAATAAGACAGACACGGTCCTTTCCTCATGGAGTTTAGAGTCAATAAAGACAGATACTGAACAAGTAACTATTAATTAATTAGAATTGTACAAGGAACTGACTTTGACTAGGGTGAGTGGAATTATGTGTAAGGAAGCAAGGTGTGGTCAGGGAAGGTTTCTACAAGGAAGTGTCTATTAAACTGAGACTAAAAGAATGGGTAGACATTTAAAGAGTTAGGCTTTTTTTTTTTTTTTTACATTTTGGGGTTTCCATTGCTGAGAAATGAGATTAATCTTTTGGGCAATTCTCTTTTGAGCCTGATTTCTTAACTTCTGTGCTTCAGATAAACTTACATGTTCTGCATTTGATGGTGAAACATTTGTAACAGATTGAATTTCATCTACCAAAAATATGTGCTGTGAGTCCTAACCTCTATACCTGTGTTTATAATCCCATTTGGGAACAGGTTTTCTTTGTTATGCTAACGAGACAGTATCAGTGTAGGGTGTGTCTTAAATCGATCTCTTTTGGGATATAAAGGAGCAGATTAAGCAAACAGCAAAGCAGCACAGTTGAGAGAAGATGCCAGTGCCTATAAAGATTACTGAGGAACAGCAGCTCAGCATAGGCGTGGACCTCCCTCCAGAGCTGACAGAGAGGGAAAGCCTCCCCCTAGAGTCAGTGCCCCAAAGTCAGACTCGTAGCCTCCTTACTGTGAGACAGTAAGTTTGTTTGTTAAAGCCACCCACTTAGGGTATTTCTGTCACAGCAGCACTAGATAACAAAGACACTCCTGTTAAAAAAGAGGTCAACCAAAGAAAATTCCTATTACTACATATGAAATTAGCTCTTCTGGGTCTTTACTATATCCAGCTGATCTACTATTTTCTACTCCATTTCCTTGTAGTGAGTGGTCTCATGAAGCTTAGGAGTGGACTCAGAACTAGAACCCAAACTTGTATCCAAAAATAGAATGAATTTACTGGTCTGATAGAGAGTGGTGGAACCGCCAAGACCATGGTCCTTAGTCACTCTTCAAGCCTGGAACTGAACTCAAACCCCGTGGCTCAACTTTCATGTAAACAATGCACAGGCCTATAAGGTGAACAAAAACATCATGGGAGTATTGCACTCAGTAGAACAATCAACTATATAAGATAAGGAGGGCAGCATTTCCCTATGGATAAAGATCAGAAGACAGGAAGGGATAGGAAAGAAGGACAAAGGGAAATGATAAACACAGGGAGGAAGTGCGAAGAGTGTTGTTACATTGTGGGGATTGCAATCAATGTCATGAGAAACAAAATGTATATGAATTGTTGAACAGAAAACCAATGCTCTATAAACTTTCACACAAATCATCATCATAAAAAAATATAATGGATATATTTGAACTTAACAAAAAGAATATGAGGAGTGCTACGTGACAACAGAATAGTGCTATGATCCCACTAATGCATATAAACCAAAAAACCAAACTCACTGCCATCGAGTTGATTCTGACCCATAGTGACCCCACTGGGTTTCCAAGGCTGTAAATCTTTATGGAAGTATGGAAGTAGTTGTCTCATCTTCCTCCCAAGAAGCAGCTGATAGGTTTGAACCTCTAACCTTCTGGTTAGTGACCAAATGCCTTACCCACTTTGCCACCAGAGCTCCTTATTTAATGCATATATTTCTTCTTAAGAGAAGAAATTTTTATTTTTTTGCTTTCTTGGGATTTGAAACGTTTTAGTGCTCTTACACCAGAAAACATAATAACAAAAAATATAACTACAGTACTTATCATAACTGTAATTAATCAATGCTCACCCAGCATGTATTCATCTTCCATACTAAAAGTCTCTAAGTCATTAGGGAATTCTACCCACAGAGGCCTAGGGAAAGGAAAAAAAATCTTATTTAGCATCATTAGATGTTTTACTACAATTCAATCACTTATATTTTTAGTTTTATAACTCTTAAAAGAAAATTGGAAAGAGTTAAGACTTTTTTAATATGAGTCAAGATTTTATAAGCAACTGTTAATGACTGCAATATAATTTTCTTGTGTGAAACAGCTAACAGTGCAAATATTCCAGTGAAGGATTAAGAATTCTGGCATCTGCAGGTTTTACTTTGGATTGCTGAGCACTAAATACTACTGTGATAGGCAGAAACAGAACTACAGAACTTTGTACAAGTTCAAAGGCCTAGCCCCTTTGGTGTAAAACAAAATAAATGTTTGTAAAATCGCATTTCATAATGATGATAATTCACTGCCATCTTTTCATGCTCTCCTGGCCTTTGAAGCATTACTTATTTAAATGAAAAGAACTTGCTTTTTCAAGCTGGCAACAGTTTTGAAGGCTGAGAAATGTGTGTATATGTGTGTGTTTTTAACTGTTTCTGTTGCTGTATACAGCTATCTAGGAAATATTGGGCTTATAAAAATAACAAAACTTTCAATATCAATGTAGCTGGATATCATGTTAATGTTTCATTCATATATATATATATATATATAGGAGCTCTGGTAGCATAGTGGCTAAGACATTTGCCTGCTAACCAGACGGCTGGCGGTTCAAACCCACCAGCCACTCCTCGGAAGGAAGGTTGGGCAATCCTACTTCCGTAGTGATACTGCCTCAGAAACCCAAGGAGGGGTCGCTATGAGTCGGGTTTGACTCGACAGCACATAACAACAACAACAACATATATATATATATATTTCAATTTCATGAGGAAAATATGTATTTCAATAAGAGGAACTTATGAGTCGGGGCCGACTCGACAGCACATAACAACAACAACAACAACATGTTATATATACCTTATAAACCTTGCAGTAATATGTTCTTTCTCACCAAGTGTAATGGAGCAGTGGAGTGTAATGGAGCAGTGGTCTTTCTAAACCTGGTTGGGATCTAGAATCACCATGGAAACTTCTAACCAATACAAATTCCTGGGACCCATCCAAGTAGAGTCTTAAGTAACTATTTGGAGATGTGGCCTTAATAATCTGTGTATTTAAAAAGCTCTCCAGGTGATTCTGATCTGAGCAGTTTAGGAACAATGATCCAGAATTGCGGCGTCTTATTTGCATCTCTGCGTATATTGTTCCCTAACCTAGAAAGCCGGCTTTTCTATCCTGCCTTTGAAATAGAATCAGAATATAATTTATACAGGAAAAATGTTCATCTCATACTTGAAACAATTTAGCTGGAAGGGTAAGATAAAGCCTAAAAATGGCAGAATATTCTTTAAAAGAAAATGCTTGTGGGTTAAATTCTGAATGAATTCAGTTTCAGAGTCACTTCCTTTTTCTTTGCAATATTTCTATTTCTGTTTCCTATCAAATATTAATGCGTTAGACACAAAGTAGCAGGGATCTGGTTTTTATCTTTTGTGTTCTCCACAGCCAGCACCCTGCTTACAACTGGTGCTCAATAAACTGACTGAAACTTTACTGAACACAGGCTTTTCTCCATTTTTCTCTATGTATCACTATGTAATCACTCTGTTCCCTAACAGCTGAAGCAATCTTCCTTTATAGGTTAGTTGCTGGGTCCTGGTTGGATGAAGCTTTTTTACCTCATGATGGGTTCGGCAGCCACGTGTGCATGGTAGAACAGAGAATACCAATAGGGCAGGAGGGCATAGCGCTCTCTGATGGCTTCTCGGATCAGCTGGGTGTGTCTCTTCCCGAAGAGCCAGGGTTCTCGCCGCTTGGTTTTTTTGGTGGCATGGCCCCGGAAGAATGGCTGATAGGCTCCGGCCTGGTACCAACGCACAAGCAGCTCTGCTTCTGGATTCCCAATGAACCCGCCTACATCAGCTGGTTAGTCAAAGAGAGGCCAAGTGGGGTTACCAGGCTTCTACAGACGCACATGGGTAAGATAAGGCCTTTAAAGACTGATAGAAAAACACTGCTGTGTGTGCCCTCAAACGATTTGATAAAACTATGGCCCCCAAGAGAGGAGAATATGTTAATAAACTCAGAATGTTTGGGTATCTGGTAATATGCTCTTTAGATATTCTTGTCAAAAGGTCAGAGGTCCTACTGCAAGATCAATGTTCCTGTGTGTTCCTGAACCAAGGTAATAATAGAAATTGCAATTTATCTGTCAGATTAAATTGTGTGTGTGTGTGTGTGTGTATGGTGGGGTAGGGTGGGGATTAACTCTTGATATTCTTTGAAAGCAACAGTTCAATCAAGATAAAAATTATATAAAGAACTAAAGAGAAACAGATAATTAGAATTAGAGGTTTAGGTCGAATTTCATGCTGACCATTGGGCAGGTATATATATTCCTTGTGGAATATATATTCTACAAGTTTAAGGTTGTTGTCAACTTGGCTGAGCCTGGTTGAATGGTTGGGCAGCTGGAAGTAGTTATTCCCCATGATGGGACTGGCAATGAACTCCATGGTGGAATATGCCAGGAGCAGCTGAGTAGCTGCTTTAAGGATGTGTTCTGCTTCCTGTATATAAGCAGCACCTTTGGAGAGGGTCTCTAGCTTATAACATGCTTGAACCCTGCATGTGGTCATGTCATTGTTTAGCAGCCTGCCATGCTCTGCTAATCTTGGGACTTTAAATAGACTTGAATCAATAACCTGCTGTGTTGTTTGTAACATTGGAACTGTGCCTTTTTACTTGTCCACCTTGGGTTTGTCAGCCTCAGCAGCCAGCAGCTGTCTGAATGAAGGAAAGCTGCCAGCTTCAGTGGGCCAGGAGCAGGAGGCAGACATGAAGCCCAAGGTTGAGGGGCTTTCTCCTAGCCCCTACAGCCTGGCACTTTGAACTTGGACTTAAAGCCTCCAAACTGTAAGAGAATAAACTCCTGTTTGTTAAAGCCATCCTATTTGCAGTATATTCTTGTCAGAGCAGCACTAGGTAACCAAAACAGTGTACTGAGGCCATTTTATCAAAAATGCATCAAAAAGTGATATAAATTCTTTCCGTTCCTACAGAAAACAAGGAGCAGCTGGAACTGCAGCTATGCTAAGCACCTTCCATACTAGGATGCAGGGAAGGCAGCCCATCAGAATGTTATTTTTTTATATATATAAAATACAGTGATAACTGTTGTTTATAGTTTAACTGTGTACTTTTTTTTTTTTTTTAAACAAGTTAAACTATGTCACAGAATTTTAAACTTGCCAAGAAGGGATTTCTATAAGGCTGACTTCTGATTTGCTAAATTATTTTCAGTTCTCTCCATTTTCTCACTTCCAAAAAAAGATGTTTCAGGAAGAGAAACTCAATTATCAAGAGCGTCTAAGGAGGTGTGAGAAGAAAATGAGGGAAAGAAGCACTCTGGTTCCTTTTCTGATACTTTACACATGTCCTCAATTCAGACAAGCCTCAGACAGCTCTGAATCATCCTTTTCACTCTCCTCCCTCTAATCCGCTCCCCTTCATTTTTCCTTTCCCACATTTATTCCTGCCCCAAACTGCTGATGAGAAGGGATTTGCAACTAGCTTTGATGAAAGCACTCTGGTTTTTTAATTTTCTCAGGACAGGACTCATCTTACCTCCACAAAAAGAGATCCCAGTAATGCTGAGAGTGAGTAACATAGGGATGGAAATTTTCAGGTAGCTCCAGTCTGATGTGTTGTCGCCAGTCCACACAGCACCTTTGATCACCAGTAACAAAGTATTTAAAGTAACTCATACAAGCCATACGTTCAATTTTCAGTTTTGATTATTTGTAGTGAAAAAATTAAGGGAAATCATTTATTTCTCACCTTAAAATTTACAAATTCTGGTTTCTACAATAAAAATATATTCTCTAATGTGAAAAAGTTATTAAAATCCATAAAGCAAGCATTTTATGGAAATATCCTGAAATTGTACTTATTTTTTGAAGTGTAACTCAAGTCTGATTTTAGGAGGAATGTTTTTTAAAATCAACTTTATTGAAGCATAATTTACAGAGAGTAAATGTATATTAAGTGAAGAGTATTAAGTGAAGAGTTTGATTTTTGAAAAATGTAAGCAGCCATGTAACCACCACCACAACCAAGGTATGGACCATTTCATTTCCATAATTGCTGAAGTTCCCTTATGCTTCTCAGTCAACAATCCCCACTTTAGCCAAACAGTGATTTGATTTCTATCTCCACAGGTTAGCTTTTTCTAGAATGTCACATAAATTGGAACATACAATATATATTCTTTTGTGTTTTGACTTTTTTCACTCAGCAAAATGTTTCTGAGATTCATTCATGTTATATATAGTTCATTCTTTATTTGCTGAGTAGTATTCAAATAGATACATCACAAATTAGTTTATCCATTTACCTATCGAGGGATACTTGTACTCTTTCTACTATAAATGAAACTTCTACAAAGATTGTGTATAAATCTTTGTATCATATGTTTTCATTTCTTTTGGGTAAATAAGAGTGAAATTTCTGGGATGTATACTAAATATAGCATTAAGAAAGTTCTAAATCATTTAGCAAAGTGGTTGTATCATTTTAACATTCCTAACAGCAATGTAAAGAGCTCCAGTGGTGCAGTAGTTAAAGCATTTGGCTGTTAACCAACAGCTTGATGGTTGGAATCCATCAGTGGCTCCGGGAAAAAGATGAGACAGTCTGCTTCAGTAAAGATGTGCAGCCTTGGAAACCCGTGGGGCAGTACTACTCTGTCCTACAGGGTCACTATAAGTCAGAACTGTTTGGATGGCAGTGGCCTTTGAAACAGCAATATATGATTTCCCCATCTTTCTTCCACAGAGTGACTGGTGGGTTTGAATGACTGCCTTCTGGTTAGTAGTTCAATGCCTTAGGAACTGCACCACCAGAACTCCTTGTAAGACTTGCAGTTGTTCTATATCTTTGCCAATATTTGGTAGTGTCAGTCTTTTTAATTCTAGCCATTCTAATGGGTATGTAGCAGTAGTTCTCTGTGGTTTTAATATGTATTTCCCTAAAGACTAATGGATGGAGCCCTGGTGGCACAGGGGTTAAGCACTCAGCTGCTAATCAAAAGGTTCAAACCCACCAGCTGCTCCGCAGGCGAAAGATGTGACAGTTTGCTTACATAAAGATTGGCAGCTTTTTTCACAGTAACCGTACAGGGCAGTTCTACTCTGTCCTATATGAGTTGGAATCGACTCGATGGCAATGGGTTTGGGTTTTGGTTATTTAATGACTAATTATGTTGAGCATCTTTTCATAATGTTTATCGACTATTTTTTCTAAAGTGTCTATTCAAATCTTTTGTTCATTTTTTAATTGGTGATTTGTCTTACTGAGTCGTAAATTCTTTATATATTCTAGATACAAGTCCAGATACATATGTTTGTTGCAAATATTTTCTCTCAGTATGCAGCTTCTTTTCATCCTCTTAACAATGTCTTTAAAAGAGTAGTTTTTAATTTTGATGAAGTCCAGTTTATCATTTTTAATTTTTATAGTTCATGCCTTTTGTGTCTTACCTGAGAGATCTTTGTCTATCTCAAAGCCACAAAGATCGTCTCTTATTTATTTTTTTTTTAATTTTAGCTTGAAAATCTAGATCTGTATTCCATTTTGAGTTAATTTTTGTACATGTTTACTTGTAGGGTTGAGGCTATTTTTTTTCCCCACGTGGGCATCCAGTGGTTACAGCATCACTTGTTGAAAAAACAATCCTTTCTTCATTGAATTGTCTTGGCAACTTCATTGTAAATCAATTGATCGTATATGTATTGGGACTATCTCTGAATTCTCTATTCTCTTTCATTGATTTATTATGTCTATCCACTCCCTCCAAAACAACAACAACAACAATAAAACCTCTCTAATATGTGAGTAGGGATTGTGAGGCTGGCACAGGACCAGGCATTGTTTCGTTCTGTTGTACATAAATAAGGTCACTATGAGTCAGAGACAACTCAATGGGACATAATCACAACAGTATTTGAGAGGAGTGGTACAATCCATATAGGGGATACATAATAACAGCAGCAATAACAAAAGCTAACATTTACTGAGCCTTTACTGAGCCAGGTGTTATGCTAAATACTTTCCTTGGATTCATTCCATTTAACCATCACAACTAGCCTATCTGGGAAATACTATTATTAACTACATTTTGCAGATGACGGAAATGTGGCAAACAGTGGATCTATATAACCTACCCAAAGTCACACAGTTATTAAATGATAAAGTCAGGATTTGAGGCCAGGCAATTTGACTCCAGAACTAGTGTTCCTGTTCACTGTATAGTTGATAAGAAATTGTGAAGATAGATTATATACTGTTAAAGAGATCCATAAAAGGAAAAATTCTTACTTTACTAAACTTAGATTGCTCCTGCAGCATTTTGGTCTATTTTCTACCAAAATAGTTTTGTGGTAGCTATTTTTGTTTTGGAGCTCTGGTAGCATAGTGCCTAAGGCACTTGACTGCTAACCAGAAGACTGGCAGTTCAAACCCACCAGCCACTCCTTGGAAGGAAGATGGGGCAATCTACTTCAGTAGTGATACTGCCTCGGAAACCCAAGGAGGGGTCGCTATGAGTCAGGTCCGACTCGACGGCACGTAACAACAACAACAATTTTTGTTTTAATCTTCTATAGCAATTTCAGCTCATGACCAGCAAAGGAAATATTTTCAAAGTGCCTACCAGCCACTCCTCGGAAGGAAGGTTGAGCAATCCTACTTCCGTAGTGATACTGCCTCGGAAACCCAAGGAGGGGTCGCTATGAGTCGGGTCCAACTCGATGGCACATAACAACAACAACAACACAAGGCATTTGACTGATAACCAGAAGCCTGGCGATTCAAACTCATCAGCCACTCTTCGGGAGGAAGACTGGGTGATCTACTTCCATAGAGATACAGGCTTGGAAAATCAAGGAGGGGTCACTATGAGTCAGGTCCAACTCGACGGCAGTGAGTTTGGTTTTTGGTTTTATCCTTTTTAAAAAATAATAATTTCTCCTTGACTTTAGTGAGCTATAAAGTGTGTATGTATCTACATAATGATTTTGAAATCCACATAGTAACATTCTTATCAGGGAAGAAGGGTCATGTAAATATGCAACCGTTTTCCTGTCTCATATGGCTGTTTAGTCAGAAGTTCTATCTGGCTATTGGCTTCAATATATGATTTAACAAAATAGAGTTCTCTGTCATGTCTTCCTACATAATGAGGCAAAACAATAGCTTCACAGATAGTACTGGAGACTAGACTGTGGTCCAATATTTCAGATCAAAGGTTACCTAGTATCTTCTTTGATCTTAACTGATGCTTGTCAATATTTTTATTAAAAATCCATTATATTTTTTAATGATTAAAAATGATATTGTAGAGAATTTGAAAATTTGAGATGAGTAAAAGAAGAAAATAAAAGTCATTCCTAATCCCCAAGGTACTATATCTTCTTGTATTTCATTTATCTATCTATTTACTTATCAATTTAGATTATTACCTACATATTTTTAAAATAAGATTGGAACAGAAGATAAACACAGGCATTTTTTAAAAAAAGTTATTATTTTACATTTTCTCATGCAATTAAAGCTACCATTTAAAATAGTTTCTTGGTAGTCTATCATATAGCTACATCATATTGTTATAACTGTTCTGTGGTTAGATATTTAGACTTGTTTCAAGGACTGTGGTAAGCAGCTTTGTATATGACTCTCTACTTGAGATGACAATATTTTGGCCTTTTTCAGAGTACTGCAGGGCCTGGTTGTCAGAGGTGAAGTACCAAAAAAAAAACCAAACTCATTGCCATCAAGTTGGATCCGACTCACAGCGACGCCTCCTTGGGTTTCTGAGGTGGTATCACTACAGAAGCAGATTGCCCAACCTTCCTTCTGAGGAGTGGCTGGTGGCATAGGAGGCCTAATAATATCTATGGTACAGCAAAGGCTGCATTCTTCAAACCAGGACTAAGCTCCCAACTATTTGTGCAAGACCATGGGACTTAAAATAGCCTTCCTACCACAGGGTGGTTAAGTGAACTAGATCTGCATTAGCTAGCAAACTGGATCCACTTATAGATGAGCCTGACCACCAATAGCAACAGCCAGGTCTATTTCAAGCCATACTGCTAAATGGAACAGATGGGTAAAGAAAGTGTTAGAAATATTTTTTTTTCTGGTTTTGATAAACCAAAGAGACAGGATCAGAGATGACTGATTCTGAGATACCTGAGCAAACTGAGATACTTTAAAGTTACTCTTTCAACAATTAAGTGGCCAGTTCTTCAATGGGAAACAAATTACCAAACATTATTAAAATTGGTTTAACCTCTCATAGGACAAAATGCATACTTCCCAGCACATCATTCCCTATAATCTATAGCCTGCCCCATGGCTACTGAAAGAGAAGACAGATCATACAGTAGCAGCATATACTATAAATGGTCCAAAAAAGGGTGCTAACTTGTGTTTTAAGTCTGGTAATATGAACTCTTACTTACCATACTTTTGTGATCCAGCAAAGAAAGAACGTGTAAGAACAAAGGGCCTCTCCCTTCCTTTTGACCGCTTTATCAATCCTTCTGCAGTAGCCATTTGCTGTAAAGTCAAAGAAGTAAAATTTCAAAGAGATGACTAGATTTGGGCATTGTGCAGACTGCAAATATTCTGAATAAGCTATTTTAACATGCATAAAGTCAACAGCAAGTGGGAATGTGAAATGGAAAATCTTATAATAATCCATCAAATAATTTTCATTATGTAATGAAGCAACTCTAAATTTCCCTATTAAAATAATGAAAATTTTCTATAAACAACAGAATGAAAATATTAGTAAAGAATAAGCTAATATTTATTCGGTGCTTACCACTGCTATGCATTTCATAAGGTTTTCTCATATAATCTAAACAACCTCTGAGATAAATGATTTTCATAGATGAGAAAACTGAGATTCAGAGAAGTTAAGTGGCCCTGTACTCCCACTAAAACCCCACTGCTATCAGTTGATTCTGACTGATAGAGACCCTATAGGCTAGGGTTGAAGGGTTTCCAAAGCTGTAGATCTTTATAGAAGCAGACTGCTCCATTTTTTTTCCTATGGAGCAGCTGGTGAATTTGAACCACCAACCTTTTGGTTAGCAGCCCAATGCTTTAACCATAGCACCACCAGAGCTCCTTGGCCCTGGACTACATAAGAAAATTCTCTAGTCAAAGCAATTTGCAGTTATAACAGGCCATTATAGAAATAAACAAATACTATCTGAAAACTGTTGCATCTAGTCAACAGCTCCCACTAGAAAATACCAAATGGTGTGAGGGCCATGGGAATACAGTTACATTTTGAAAATAACGAAGAACCAAGGGTATAAGTTAGGATAAATGACTGCCAAGTCTTTTGAATGTGATTGGTAAATGGAAGAAAATTCTACCACTTTGTACTGAGAAGGCTAAGTACTTAAGGAAAGCTTTCTACATTTAAAAACTGTATTTATTGAAATTGCATATCTGTGTTCTAAATTTTACTTCCCTGGTCTTGCTGTATTTAGACATTTGTGAAATTTAAAAACATTTGTCTTAATTTCCTTTTAAAATTTATTTATACACTGCTTACTTCAATGAAAGTTTTTAAGGTGTCTCCAGTGATGTTTCTAATGGTTCCTATCAAGGCTAACCACCACTCATCTGTCAGTCTGTTGTACTATGGTGGCTTGTGTGTTGCTGTGATGTTTACTTGTGTTTTACTGACTATGCAAAAGCATTCAACTATGTGGATCCTAACAAACTACAGATAACATTGCAAAGAATGGGAATTCCATAACACTTAATTGTGCTCATATGAAATCTATACTTAGACCAAGAGGCAATTGTTTGAACACAATGAGGGGATACTGTGAGGTTTAAAATCGGGAAAGGTGTCACAGCTGTGTCTTTTCATCATACTTATTTAATCCATATCCTGAGCAAATGACATGAGAAGCTGGCCTGTATGAAGAAGAACGTGGTGGCATCAGGACTGGAGGAAGACTCGTTAACAACCTTTCAGATGACACAACCTTGCTTGCTGAAAGTGAAGAGGACTTGAAGCACTTACTGATGAAGATCAAAGACTACAGCCTTCAGTATGGATTACACCTCAGCATTAAGAGAGCAAATATCCTTAAGACTGGACCAATAAGCAATATCATGGTAACAACAACAACAAAAAAACCCACCAAACTCACAGCTGTTGAGTCAGTTCCAACTCACAGCGACCCCTCCTTGGATTTGCAAGGTGGTGTCTCTATGTAAGTAGATTGCCCAATCTTCCTTCCATAGAGTGGCTGGGGGGTTTGAACCATCAGCTTTCTGGTTAGCAGTCAAATGCCTGAGGCACTACACCACCAGAGCTCCTAACATCATGATAAATAGAGAAAAGATTGAAGTTGTCAAGGATTTCATTTTACTTGGATCCACAATTGATGCCCATGGAAGTAGTAGTCAAGAAATTAAACAACATATTGCAAATCTTAGGCAATGTGCTGCAAAAGACCTCTTTAAAGTGTTAAAAAGCAAAGACGTTATTTGAAGGCTGAAGATGCTCCTGGCTCAAGCCGTGGATTTTCAATCAAATCACAGCATGTGAAAGATGCACAATAAATAAGGAAAACCGAAGAAGAACTAATGCCTTTGAATTATAGTGTTGGTGAAGAAAAATGAATGTACTATGGACTACCAGAAGAATGGAGAAATCTGTCTTGGAAGAAGTACAGCCAGAATGCTCCTTAGAAGTGAGGATGGCAAGACCTCGTCTCACATACTTTGTTGCTTCCCCCGCCCCCCAACAGTCACTGGGAAGTTTTTATTGAAATGCAATTCACATAGCATAAAATTCTCCCTTCTGAAGAGTATAGTTCAGTGGTTTAATATATTAACAAAGTTGTGCCACCATTACCACTAACTAATTGCAGAACATTTTCATATGAAACCCCATACCCATTAGCAGTTATTTCCTATTCCCTCTTCCTCCAAGCCCTTTGCAATCATTAACCTACTTTCTGACTATTTAATTGTTTGTTCTGGACATTTCATATAAATGAAACCATATAATATGTTGTCTTTTATGTCTGACTTCTTTCATTTGCTATAATGTCTTTAATGTTCATTTACGTTGTAGCAGAAACCAGTAGTTCATTCCTTTTTATGAATTAATTGAATTGTTTGTATAAACTGTATTTTATTTAGGAGCTCTGGTAGCATAGTGCTTAAGGCATTTGACTGTGAACCAGAAAGCTGGCAGTTCAAACCGCCAGCCACTCCTTGGAAGGAAGGTTGGGCGATCTACTTACATAGAGACACCACCTTGCAAATCCAAGGAGGGGTCGCTGTGAGTCGGGTCTGACTCGACGGCAGTGAGTTTTAGTTTATATTTTATTTACCCATTCATCAATTGTTACACATGTGGGCCATTTCTACCGTTTGGATATTATGACTAGGCTTCTATGACTATTCATGTGCATGTTTTTGTGTGGACATACATTTTTAGTTCTTTTAGTATATACCTAGGTGGGGTGGTTAGGTTTGTGTGTCAACTTGGTTGGGCCTTGTTGAGTGATTAGGCAGCTGGTGGTAGTTACTCCCCATGATGAGACTGGCAATCAACTCCATTGTGGGATCTACCACAAGCAGCTGAGTAGCTGCTTTAGGAATGTGGTCCACTTCCCATACATAAACAGCAGCTTTGGGAATGGTCTCTAGCTTGTGGCATTCTTGAACCCTGCATGTAGCCATGTCATTGTTCAGCAGCCTACTATACTCTGCCGACCTTAGGACTTTTAATGGACTTGACAGGAAATATACCACAAATGGGATGCCTTAAGAAACAGGAGTTTATTCTTACAATTTGGAGGCTTTAAGTCCAAGTTCAAAGTGCCAGGCTCTAGGGGCTGGGTGAAAGCCCCTCAACTTTGGGCTTCAGCTTTGCCTCCTGCTCCTGGCCCACTGAAGCTAGAGGTTTTTCTTCACTCAGCTGCTGGCTGCTGAGACTGACAAGCCCAAGGTTGACAAGTAAAAAGGCACAGTACCAATGTTAGCAAACCATACTGCAGCCATTAATTCAAGTTCATTGAAAGTCCCAAGTTTGGCAGAGCATGGCAGGCTGCTGAACAATGACATAGCTACATGCAGGGTTCAAGCGTGCAGGGTTCAAACTAGAGACCGTTCCCCAAGGCCGCTCCTTATATACGGGAAGCAGACCACATTCCCTAAGGCAGCTACTCAGCTGCTCATAGTAGATTCCACCATGGAGTAGATTACCAGTCTCATCATGGGGAATACTACATCTAGCTGCCCAGTCACTCAACCAAGCCCAGCTAAGTTGGCACACAAACTTAACCACCACATTATTAGTCTCATAACCTTTGTAAATTTATGATGTTGAGATCTAGATGGAGGAAACAGGCTGAGAGTCACAGGACCCAGAAATGCAGAAGGCTGGGTAGGCCTCTTCTGGCCTGGATTCTGTGACCTGTGGGCTCCATACACCCACCTCCCTACCAGGCCAGATTAAGGTGAATGAGGCAACTTACATAAGAGGTACCAGGAAAAATGGTGGTTAGGACTAGCAATACTTTAATGCAGTGTATTGTGAAAATTAATATTGGTGAAAATAGTCCATGATTTAAAAAATTAGGAAGTTTATTATGAAATGGAATGAAGCAAAGGTACAAATAATAAATCTTGTCTTGGCTACAACTGGCAAGACTCAATGCAGTTATTGGAAATGACTAAGAGAAATAAACAGTATAGTATAAATACTGCAAAGCAAGTGACTTTCAGCCCAAAAGTCAGGGCACATGAGATCAGCTGACTTCTTTTTGAATGACTTACCTGATAAAAACCATAGATGTTGTGAAGTTCTCTGTGCTCCCAATTGCCATGATGGATGGCATTCTTCTGCATAGTTAGCTCTGGTCCTCTAAAGACGGAGGGCTCATTCATGTCATTCCATATGAAAAGGATGTCAGTAGATCCCTAGGAAGTAGCTCTTGGTCACAATACTCTCATTGTGATAATGTTAATAAGTCTCTCCATCACTCTTTCCTACTCTACTAAATTAATTAATTTTATTATCCATGCTGTGTCCTGTTCCACTGTTAGAATATAAGCTCCACAGAGCAGGGAATTTTGTCTGTTTTGTCCACTGATAAATCCCAAACACTTAAAACAGTACCTCATCCCCAAAAAGTTCTCAATAAATATATGTTGGTTAAAAAAAAAAAAAAAAAAGACTAAACTATATTATCTGTGAGATACACATTGCCCAGAAGTCTACTCTGAGACCTACCCTGGAGAAGCCCCACAGGAAAGGCTGTGAATGTTCACAATTAGGCTCTATGTCACCTGTTGTCTGCTACATCTCAACTAAGAGCAATTACAGGTGTACATGACAAGAGTGTATCGTCCCTCTAATACTCTGACAGATTTGACAGCAAAGATATTGTTTGCTAGAATGTATATAGTTTGCATTCTACGTAGAACTGTTCAATTTAGAGTCGGAAAGGCCAGTTGAGTCATCTAGTTAACATGGTTTAGCAATTCCTTTCATAGAATCCCTGGTCTCTCCATATTTGTTTTTATTTTATTTTTAGAGCTTGTTTTATATTCAAAGATACATGTACATTTAGTTTCATTCCCCATTCGCCATGTCCAGCCCTAACTCAGTCTCCTCCCCTCCCTACCCTTCAACCCTCCCCCTGTGCCCCTCATAATTATGCACTCCTGTTTGTCCTGCGTTTCCTCAGTTTGAATGTTGGTCCTTTGGTGTCCCATGGTTTATTGCTTTAGAGGGTGTATTACCATTGAGTGTGTGGGTGCAGCATCCTGGGTTGAGTGGTCTGCGTGTACATATCGCTAACCATTGGGCTGAGAACCCGCCCTGGGGGTGAGTTTTATTCCAGGTGCCGAATGTATTTCAGGGCCATAGTATTGGGAGTCTCACCAGACTTCATCTGA